AGTCAAGCTATTCTCCAAAGCGCCTGAAGGCAGGACAAGAAGCAACGGATGGAAACTCATCAAGGAGAGAAGCAACCTAGAACTAAGGAGAAACTTCCTGACAGTGAGAACAATTAACCAGTGGAACAACCTGCCTCCAGAAGCGGTGAATGCTCCAACACTGGAAGTTTTTAAGAAGAGACTGGACAGCCATTTGTCCAAAATGGTTTAGGGTTTCCTGCCTGAGCAGGGGGTTGGACTAGATGACCTTCAAGGTCCCTTCCAACTTTACTATTATTATTATTATTATAAAGATAGATGATTGGATAGAGAGAATAAGAGAGAGAGAAAGATAATAAAATGATTAGTTGGATAGATGATTGGATAGATAGATAAAGAAAGAGAGAATTAAAGATAGATAGATAGATAGATAGATAGATAGATAGATAGATAGATAGATAGATAGATAGATAGATAGATAGATAGATAGATATAATAGCCCTGGACTCTTAATAAAACAGAAGAAAACCGGCATTAAATGGATAACTCTTGGCCTCTTTTCCTGAGAAACAGATTGCCTTTTTATCTACTTATCAAAAAAAACTCATTATAGCATTCTCAGTGGTGAGATTCGGCAGCATGAAACAGACAGCTTGTTCATGTAATGGATAATTTGACTTAAACTTTAGGGAGTATCTTTGTTTTTTTTCCTTGCTGGTCTATTTTTGCTGTTTCCTTTTCACAATTTATTTATGGAGTTTTATAATCTGAGTTTGAAGCCATCTGGGTGATTTTTCTATGGATAACTAGACAGATGCATGTAGTGTGTGTGTGTGTGTGTGTGTGTGTGTGTGTGTGTATGAGACAGAGAGAGAGAGAGAAAGAAAGAGATGTGATATAGATAAATGTTGGATGGATAGATGATAAAGGAATGAATAGATTGATAATGCATGGATAGATATTGGTAAGGGATATAAAGATAAATGATAGAGAGACAGACAGAGACAGACATGTGTGTGTGTGTGTTTGTGTGAGTGTGTGTGTATGGAAATATATATGTGTTAAATGTAGCTGGAGACATTTGGCAAGCTTAGCCTAATTTTCAGTGACAAACTCCCCTTAGGCATGAACAGAAAACTTTTCAATCAGTCTGTGTGCTACCTGCTCTAACACACAACACGGACACTAACCTCACAATCGATACAAAAGCTAAGAGTGCCACAAAGAGCCCTGGAAAGAGATAACATGCTTGGCATCACAAGACAGAAAGACCCGCGCCTGGGGACACACGGAAGTGTAAGATGCCTTCAAGAGAGTAAAAGAATTTAAATGGAAATGTGCTGGGAGGGAGAGAAGAGAAAAGAAAATGGCTAAGATGTGAGTTAGGTAGACAGAATCATCATTAAATAGGTATGTCTGTTACAGTTTTGCATGCAGTGTTAAGAATTGAGAATGGTGCATGGAGGCAGTTAATTGGAAGCTTAAATTATTTTAATCGGTATAGAGATTCCCGCTAACATTTTGGAAAGTGAGATTTTGAATGTCTATTAAATCATTGCTAGAGTGAAAACCATTATCTTCCAGCACCTCTTCAGACTCTTTAAAATTGCCCTGGGTAGACATCAAATACTTTTCACATAAAAGTTATGGAAAATACTTTGGCAAAACATTAAGGGGCAATGAATAGTGATTTTAATTCAAGCAATTCAGGCACTGCAGCAGGTCAGCAGGAGTCAATGTCAAGCAGAGACAGGCTTTTAAAAAGGTTTTAAAGAAGTCCTTTTGTTTTTGTTTTGTTTTTTTAATTTAATCCAATTTATCCTGTTTCTGGGCGGCCAAGCAGGGAAAGAGAAAGAGAGGAAAGAAAGAAAAAGGA